TGTAATACTGAATAAAATAATTTACCTTAATTAGAAAAGTACATTCCATATTCTATCCTTCCTTTCCATGTATTATACTTGCCCCCATGTACTGACTTCAGGCACACATTTGACCATTCACTATACCTTATTCCATTAATAATTATAGTATACCACATGACATATTGCCATTTTTATAACTGTTAATTTATTTAGATGTCCTTCCTATTAATAGTAACCATAGCTTTTAACTTTGTTTTAAGATGCCACATGTTTATAGGTTTTGGAACTCAGAATTGGTTTCTACGAGAACTCATGCTCAGATTTTGGATTTTGCTTCTATATACCCTTCATTAATGAAAGTGCATAATTTATGTTACTGCACTCTGGTTTATTAATAAAAAGAAAAAAAATGCAGTGGTAGGTGTTTGTATATGGGTCCCCATGTAATAGTTATTTCATTCACAGTGAGCTTTGTTCAAGGTTTAGAACACTTTGGTGGTTAAATGATCTGAGCTATAATTTGGCAGGGAATACATAACAATGGACGTGTTTGCAGCCATGACAGTGTTAGTGGCATACACACGACAAGTGAAAGAATATCATCTCACTAGAGGACACATTACGATTGAATTGTGAGTTCTTTGTTTTTCCCCCTGAATTTGGTTAGTATCTTATTATAAGCTATCAGATTCTTTTTTCCCATTGTCTAATAAGGTTTGATTTTTTTAACTAAAGAATCAACACTTTTGTGTTGGTTTGAAAACAAATACTATTTTTAGATGTATCAGTCTCACTTCTCTTTTAACATTGAAGATGAATCCAATTTTCAATCACAACTACCAAGGAATTGTGTCAATTAATACCCTTTATTACAGACAGGAATGAAAACTACTACTCACCAGTAACTGTTACAGGTCACACTTCAGCAACAGAACAATTTTAAAATAACCTCACTTAGCTGGATATATTTGTGTTCCTTTTAATTAGTTTATATTTAAAAACTTTGGCTTATTGGAAAAACATATGCACCATACACTCTGCAGAATTGCATATTACTTTTGTGGTCTTTTAAGGTTGCATTGTTTTAGGTATGTAGTTAAGACTGGTTGATTAAAAAGTACAGCGACAAAGTATAACTTCGGAAAAGTATAAACTGCACAGGAGAGTAAGAAATTAGCATGGGACACAACCTTTTAAAGCACCATAGAGGAAAAA